GAGGGAGGAGGGCAGTAATCTCTTGCATCTCATTGAAAAAGGAAAGCAATAAACTAAATGAACATCAACCTAAATATATACATGCAAAATAAACGGAAGCAAGCTCATAATATGAAAAGTCGCATAATAAATTAATATTAATATTATCATTATTGCCACACAACACGTGTGTGCTCAGTTGAGGAGTAGCGTATAATAGTTGTGGCACAGTAGTTGCTCGAGCAGAATCGCTCGATTTATTCATCATGTACTCTTTGCTTGATTCTGACCTGAAACTATTCATTAGGCCATCCCCACTTCAAATTTCCATGTAAATACCTCAACCGAAAGCGATCACAATGCTACGGACACAGCAGCAATCGTTCAGCCACAACTGCACTAGATTCAACTGAACAGAACTCAAAAAGATAAGCTAACAGTATTAGAACACTGTTACAATGAAGCATAATTTTGATAGCTTAACTATATGACTATAGATATCGTTCTTTCATCAATCTAATACCACTTCTGATTCAATAGAAGCTCCATCTCAAAATGACGAAATTTTATCGGTGATAAAGAAAGATTCCGATAGGATTCCGTAAGGTCAGTCATGTTTTACTGGCGTATAGAAGGGCATGTTAAAGATTTCATTTTATTTTTTAAGCTTCCATCTATAAATCATCTATAAATGATCTCTGTGAAAACAGAGAATGAAAATGAATCGCGTTTCATCTTCGAACGAAAACATTTGCCTTAAGGACTAACCATTCGTCAGAAGTGCATTCTTATTAAGAACACTGTTGAGATCTGAATGCAGAAATTGCCTTTGAACTGAACGCGATGAAGGTTTCTGCGTGTCACCGTTTCTCCAAGCGCCTCCATTTTGCCATTGCTGATGATCCAGTTCCTCACGGGGTAATTCATACGAATCGCTTAAGTTCCGTCTATCTGGTGGAAACTAAAAAATATCCGGTGAAGCCCGGATATGGCTACAGCCTGACTGAGAGAGCTTTAAAGTTTCTTTTCAGCATCATATTGATCTATTGGTTTTTACATTGATCAACTTCATATTGATTCCTATGATCACAATCACACAATTCATTGGCATTACAAATCAAAATATTGTCATATGTTATACGAGAATATTTCCGCAAGTCATAGAATTTATCACATCCACCAAATGCAGTTCATATTTCTCAATTAAGCAATAAATTATTTTTATTTCAGCTAACATTTTTATTTCAAACAACTCAGCAATATGTTGGATTAAAGTTGCATCTAAAAGAATCGAACAAATCCACACGAACGATATCATACAGTCCAAAGCATGCAGCACAACAACTCAATAAGGCATTATATCGAATCAAGTCGTACTTTTGTGACATAGCCCGGATCCCAAATACAAATATAGTAAATACTCAACGCAACGGCCGGCAACGATACAAAGAAAATGTAGCCAACTACTGTTCCGAAACGAATCCATCTGAATTCATCAATGATAACGCCAACTTTAATGAGCACATAGCAACAGTCTACGAGGACTTCTGATGCAATATTTAAGAAATGAGAATCTGCAGAGCAGTTTAAGTTTATGACATTTGCCAGGTTTCGGTTTCATCTCATAACATATTTTGAATAATTCATCAAATTTGATGTCATAAGATAGCAGCCGCTTTATCTATTTTAACTGACAGCCACTTATGAGGCATTTTATGAAGTAGCTGTTCTAACAGTAAAGATATTTGAGAGAAACAAGCAAATGCTTCATTAAGATTTCGGTTCATCTGAAGGGAATCATTCAAATTTTGAAATCGCCCATTCCACAACAGATTCTCAGTAATTTGGAAACGACTAAATAGAGCAGAAAAATCAATTAGTAAATCTATTGTATCAACATAGGGATAAACTCGATTCATTGATAATTATTACTATTGGCTTTGCAGTTAATATCGACTGCAAATAAGATTCATATCTAAGGTGAGAAATCTTGATATGATCATTGATAAAACTTTTCAATGGTAACGATACTT